CTAAGTTATGGATTAATTTAAACACATTAGAGTTTTAACTTTAAACTTCTTCAGAGCTGATGAATGATGAAGTTCACCAAAATATTTGAGGCATTAAAATTTGAAACAAGCCTGAATTCTTTAAACTCTGCATGATTGTCTCAATCGCAGTTTGGGTCCAGACCAGTTAACCAGTCCTGACATGTGGTTTCTCTAAAATTTGATCTATTTAGATGCAAAAAAAAAGAAGAAGAAAAAGTTCTGGTTCTAGATCAACTTTATGAGAATTTTGCAAACAGACCAAGAAGTTGGAAAGTCGAAAATAAAACGAGACGAGAAACACAACAAACAGTTATCGCATATGAAAGTTAAACTCATCCACATCTATAAATACAGCTGTGTTGAGCTGTGTATCCTTTTCAGGGGAGTGCACAAACTATTCTCTCACCGGGCTGTGCAGCTGAGTTGTTGCCTAGCGATAAGATAAAACTGAAGGAAAAGAAGAGACGCGATGCCCGTAGTGCAGCTTTCCTCTGTAAAAACATAAGTGAATAGGTTGTCAAATGCATTGTTTTATACAAAGCAAAAAAGTACAAAGGGCTCCACAGTCTGTGATTTATTCAAATGTTAGAAATTTTGGCTGTGTATACAAAACCAACAAGATGCTGAGAGGCAGCATGTTTTTACACTGAATGTGTGTTTAACACTGTCAGGCCGCTGTGGCTTTGACCCCTGCACTCATACGGACCCATGACATGAGCCACGACAACACTTCTCATGTCAAACTTAGCAATGCAGCAGTCTGAAAACCAAACTGTCTCGTCACACCCCTACTAATCATTAACTGTAGCTATAGATAACCTCCCTCACCGCAACGGCAGTCTCAGGACCGTAATCTAGGATTTGGGGCCTGTGCTGCCGCTACAGGCATTGTGAGCTGCTCTCCATGAAAGCATGCACTAAATGTCTAACATACAAGACCAGAACCCACAAGGTCACTGCACCTGTTTTCAGCCTTTACTCTGCTCCTTCCTTCAAATCAGCAGGCACACACACACATACACAGGGAGGTCTTAACTGACATTTCACTCTGGATGTCATGGCAACCATTTTACTCTAAACCCCATCATTACCACCTGAACATATCAGGGCCAAGACACACAAAAGTGAAGGGATCTCTGAGTGTGTGTCACGTGTGCCGTTCCTCTATGAAGCCTCGTTGAAAACACCAGGAAAGGTCAAGGCTGGCACAAACACTCCCTGACCTCCAGGAGCTAATGGGTGAAGGGGGGTGGTTGGCTGTGACTCAGACCCTGCAGATTAGACCAGGGAGGCAGAGGAGCAAGGAAGGGACGTTGTAGCTTGTCACTTGACTTCTACATGTATGGCCGAGGGTCCCCCTGGGAAAAGAGGAAGGCGGTGTACAGAGCATCCTGATGGCCTCCTAGAGCCAGCTCCAGTCTCTTCCAGGACAATGAGCAATCAGGAGCAAGTGCTGGTGATTAGGGACACACTTAGGGCAGAAGTGGCCTCCAGTGAACCTGCTGAATCTCCACAACAACATCAGCTTCAAGCAGCCTCCTCTGGCCTCTGAAGACATCTTTGTTTCAGCCTGCCATCTACCCCACGTTCATCAACAAATAAAACTGGCCTCTAGAGTGGAAGCATCTGAAACATAGCTCTGACTCACTACAGTCATCTCTCAAATTAAAAAGCACCATGAAAATAATAGAAACAAGAGTTTTTGTCAGCAGGATGTGCAGTGTTAAAACAGTAATTTGGTCAACAATAGGGATTTGATTAATATCTCAGTCTCTCAGTGCAGCAGCTCAGGAATCACTGTTCACCTTAGAGGTCCTGCAGCACCAACCAAATCTCTACAGTTCAGTGTACAACACTCATCTTTGTGTTTTCTACCAACAAGAAAAATATGTAAATAAGAACTAATCAACTGCAATACATTACTGAACCCCAGTGTATGTGACAACAGTGGCCAGGAAATAACAACGGTTTAACCAGCTGGCATTCAGAAAAGTGACTGAATGTGGCCTGTTTCTTGTCAAATTATTTCTAGAACAATATGTGTTTTTGTCAAGCAAAAGAGGAAGAAGAGGTTAAATGACTCAAAATTAAGCAGTTTCACTAAGAGTAGCTCATACTGAATGATTCTGCAGGCTATTGGCAATGCAGGAGCTTCTGTCTTATCTAGGGAGACAAAGTTTGACCACATCTAAATTGACACCTAGATTTAGAATAATAATCAGGTGTTTTAACTGATTGGCTGTAGCCACATTAGAGCTTCTTTGGCATAATTACACTCCTTTCCTGCCATGTGCAGATATTATGGAAAGAAATTATTTTTTTAAAACATTGGCACTGAACATAACCCAGTGGGGTTTAGCAGAATCACCGTTCTGTCTGGTGATAGCTGTGGTTCATTTGCTGGCTCCAGCCTCTCAAACTTGAGTTGCCCAAGACATTTAGCTGCTAGTTGAAGGCCAATTCTGATAGTTTCGGGCTGAAGTAGTTTATATCTGCTTAATTTTAATTAGGCCCTTATCCTGCTCTGGGATACATCACTGCATCTCAGTGAAGAAATAATTTCCAAAACAATTATAATTAGACTAAAACAAAATAAACCCTGAAAAGAAGATCCAGGGTTGATGTCGAATCAGCGATGGATATCTGATGGATATCAGTCTTTGCAGCTATAAAACATCCTCACCACTCTGTCTGGATGATAATTAGGTCTTGCATTAAAAAAGCAACATATCAGTAGCGCTACAAAAATCTCAAATGACACTGTCGTAATCAGCATGGCTTTAGTGTTGAAAGTAGACGTGGTGATTAACAGCAGCGCACACAAAGATGTTCCCAGGCTTTGATGGTAAAACAGAAGACACCATTGATGCCACTGTGAATGAAACACAACCAGAATGTGCTGCATACGTTTCTCATCCCATTGCAACTACGGGATTAGGCCTCCAACGCCAGACACACACGTACACAAATATACACACATGCAAAGCGTATGACCTCACAGTCTCGGGGTGCCACTAATCATGGCCCTTCCATGGGTCCCCCTCTCTTTATTAAAAAACAGACAAGAGAAGGGGGTGCAGACAGGAGCAGGGTGGTGAAGAAAGGCTGCTGAGACTGAGTCCTCCAGCCTGTCTGGCTAGGAGTGTGGGAGCGTGTGTGACGGTGTGTGTTTATGGAAAGAGGGGGGTTGCATGGGAATTGACTTTGGTAATAAATAACTTGATTGAGAGACAGCCACCCTTCTCCTCCTCCTGCTTCTCCCCCAGCGAAAGAACAGGAGTAGCGGTCGAGCAGCGAGAGTCCCGCCACTACCACTGCAGCAATTTGCTGTCTGGGAGGCACAAAGACAAGGTCAGAGGTCAAATAAGTGCAGTGAGATGGAGGCGCATTCTCATGTTAATGCCGGCACAAACAACCAGGGATGCCTGAATCGAACGCTGGTGCACTGAGTGGAGGCATTTCTGAAAAGGCAGTGAGTAATCCAGGAAGAGAAACAGGAGGTGTCACTGGTAAACAACTGCGAGTCACAGCTGTGTAACATCGGTGCATTCACCAAGTCAGCTCAGTTTGATGATGGAGATTTTCAACATATAAAACTTCTAAAATATCTGCACCTATGAATCAACAAAACGCTGATTCGATGCCAAAAGCACATCTGTTTATTCTGATCCTGTTTAAATTAAGTCCAATTCTTTTATTCAGGTGAGAACGACCAAACTGAACAGCCAGTAAGGAACTGAATGTACAGATTCACTTGAAAATGTATAAACACAATCCTGATGAAGCACAGAGAAAGCATTGAAAAAGCAGCATGAGCCTGCACAAAGATCAGTGACTGGTCAAACACAAGCCTCCAGAGTTCTGCAAACTGTGCACAGCATCCTCCAGACTGTAGGCAACCACAGCTTCTTGCTACAGCAGCATTGTTATTATTATAAGGACAGGGGGTGAGTACTTTTTAGTAGTATTATTAAGCAGCTGTCTTCTTGACAAGTCCGAAAAGAGAATAGGCTGCTAATAGTGTCAGTGCAATAAAGCAGGAAAAAAAAGACAGCCAGCGCATTCTGATTATTCCAGAGCAAAAGTTTCTATCTGACATTCAAATGTCATAGTTACACAATAAACCACACAGGAAAACAAGATGACCACTGCTCTTAGCTGGCATGGAAACTAGTGTTCTTGGCTCTTGAGATGTAAATGTAAAGCATTATGCCCAGTCAGAGACAAAGTTTAACCAAAGTCCGAATACAAAGCACCAAAATGAAGAAGGTTCACACACACAAAATCAACATAATGTTTTCTTTACAGGGTCCAAACTGCTCCACATCAACACATGGGGAAAATGCACAGATGTCTGGGCTATGTCTTCGCCTGTGTGTCACTATTCAACTATTCACCAGCATCAACACATGGGGAAAATGCACAGGTGTCTGGGCTATGTCTTCATCTGTGTGTCACTATTCAACTATTCACCAACAGTGAGTGTAAATCAGCTTATTACAAACAGGTGCACTAGACACTTGTCTGCCACCAGAGGCATCTTTAGATTTGTCTCTGAAAACCTCAAAGCTCCAGACACTTGTCTGCCACCATAGACATCCTCAGATTTGTCTCTGAAAACCTCAAAGCTCTTTACAACAATCAACCCCATAACCACAAGAACCTAAACTAAAAGCCTTCACAGAACTACACACTAACCACAGCTGACCAGAAAGTGAGAGCAGACACACACTAAGATTTGTGAGCACATGTAGAACCAAAGCAATGTCCAAATATGCAGCTTAAAAACAAGCACACAATGCTGTCGACCTGGCCTTACTGCTCACTACAGCATCAAATGTCAACTGATGCACAACTGCAGCAGACAACAAACAACAAGCTGTCAAACCACCTGGCATAGGGCTGGGGATATACAGCTGTCAAGCCACCTGGCATAGGGCTGGGGATATACAGTGTGACATGGCAAACACTACAACAACCTGAACAGCTGGTTTCCTGTTGCTCGCTGTGGTGCATTTCTTAAATCCCGACTTGCTGCAGTTTTTGTAATCCATATCCTTTTTTAAAAATCTTGTTTGAGGTTGTCACTGCCCTGCTAGTCCAAACAACAGCCAAGTGTGCAGGTGAATTATATTATGTAAAAGTGAAGGTCACCACCTTACAGTAATTGTGTTATTGCCCACTAGTGGCATGGAGTGCAAATGTCAAAAGCACAGCTGCCACACTCCTCTGAAAAAAAAGATTTGAAAAAACAGATTTGATTTTAATGTGGAGTCCTGCAGGCTCCAGAGGTGCAGCTTGGCTTTCTCTGCGTCTCTCTTTTCTGCTTGTTTCTGCCTGGAGAAAAGATGAATCAGTTCATAACTAATAACTAATTGCTCTTCTAAGAACTAAAGAAAATGTCTCCCACAAATCCTCGGCAGCACAGAAACAGATTTTCATTAGATTTTCTGGTTGGATGTTACAACAGTAGAATGTGCTCATTTAGAGTTTTATTTAATAAATTCAACCCCAAAGTGTCACATATCAAACAGATTTGTGCCGAATTAACAGCAAAATAACACCTGACTATGTGGATGCACAGTGTGGAGTGAATACAGGCTTTGAACCAGACACTACACCAGTGCCACCTTACAAACCCAGGACCTCAGATGTCCTCTTACTTCATGAGACATTTCAACAGAAACATGAGAACCCGCTCTCTCTACTACATGTTTGATTTTGACTATTTCCTTTGGACACCAAAATAAAATGAACTTGAGTGAGATCAAATCCACAACCACGAAGGATCCTCTGATTCCATGATAGATGTCTCCAACGGTCTCTGCTAGCTTTTTATATTGGACAGTATAAGCTGCCTGTACTCTAATGCTCTTCCACTTCACCACCATGTTCTGCAAACTCACATTTTATTTAGACAGCACCTAAAGGAAAGAGACAAATGTTCTAAAAGAGAAGAAGAGAAGAAGAAAAAAGAAATAGTTCCGTTTAAAAAATCAGTCTGGTAAAATGCTGATTGATTTGATTTTTATGAGACTCGGCGATGTGTGAAGCCCAAAGCCCATAGATTTAAATGCTTTAAGAACTCAGCAAGGTCTAATTAAGTCACTCAGGGTGTTAGAAGACTTCTTTAAAGTTTTGAGGTTGTGGATTCAATCCTTGCTGAATTTTGTAGTCCAGAATCCAGCTTGATACTTGTAAGAGAAGAAGTCAATGTGAAGGTGCAACACAGGTTTTAAAAATCACTACTACTAGCCTAATCCATTAACAGCCACTAATATATACTGTACATACATAATGACGACCAGTTTGAGTTTTATACCTAGAGAGTGAGGACTTTTTAAAATAACAGCGTTGGGCTGTTATTTCCTATGTACTTTTTATTTTCTTGATGTAAGTTTTGTTTCATCATCTCCATTTCTTTCCCCTTGCACCTGTGACTGTCCTCTCTGTTGTGCTTTTATTGTGAAGGACTGTAACTCTGGTTTAGTGAAGTGCGATATGAAGGCATTTTTTTCCTGACAAAGCAGGATGGTTTTGACAGGAAGCCATATAGCCTTCATAACAAGCCCTTTTTTTAGGTAAACCAGGTCTTGTGAGATTGGTACTCTCTTGAATTTGGGGTTTTGTACACCTTAATTTGTTATGTGATCACCTTTGTTGTTGTTTTCTTTGTTGTTGTAAGCCCATACAATAATCAATCAAAGAATACAGTTTTATTCCCTTTAAAATTAAGTAATGATCAGAAAATTAACCAACACTCATTCATTACAAATGTACTTCATTAACTTGTCTTTTATAAATTTATTACTATTTACCTATTTATTACAGTTATTTCCTGTGAACTGAAGCAAAGTGAAAGTTTCATTTTTGATGGAGAAGAAAAGAAGAAAGTTTAATCCTAAACTTTGTGTTCCTCCAGGCCCAGTATAAAATTATATGGATATGCTAAAAAATAATGACACCACAATGGACAAGACGATTCCCATTGTGGACCATAGAGCGTAGCACAGGACTTTTGAGGAAAACCTGTGATTATTATTGATGTTTCCAGATCCATGCTTGTGGGAGAAAAGGATGCATACACACCTTATCTCACACCTTATCTCGTCTCCTTTGCGGATTAATCAGAAGGTGTATCTGTGGTGCATTTCCTCCCATCACTGGAGGAGGTGGGGGGCGGATTAAAGTGAGGCTAATCTCCAGCCCGGGCCTCTTCCTCCTCTTCTCCTTTTCGTTCCTTCAGTTGAGCCTCCCTGCAGCTGCCAGTTTGCTGTTCCACTTCTCATTTATTCATGAGGACGAGGGACGAGGGGGAACAAGCAAAATGAAAATGGCAGCTGTTTGTTTACGCGTTCCCACGACTCCATGCCAATTAAACGTCGTCATTCCGTCAGCCGCTTGTCTTCCCTGATTAGACACCCCTCAACAGACAAGACGAGTTGAAAAAGAGGGGTGGGCACGCACGCACGCACAGGGGCCTGCGTGGTGGAGAGAAGGCCGGAGAGGAGCGCTCCTGCGCGGGCACCGCTGCAGGATCGTTCACAGCGCCTGTAACACAGGAGGCTTTTCGTATACAGAGACATTATCAGGCCACTTCTCCTGTAACCCCGTGTACTGTAGGTGGTGATAACGCCTTCCTCTGTGAGAGCACGAAGGGAAATTTAGACCGTTTCGATTATTATTTACAAGGTTATTTGTAGTTATCCCCCCCCCTCCCCCCCCCCCCATCCCCATTATACATGAAGATTTAGGCCACTTTCCGCCACAAACCACCCAATCTTGCAGTAGTATATAAAGTTATTAATTACAATTAAAATGATTATATAAAAATAAATATATATATCATTATTATATAATGTTATAGGCTATAACAAAGCTTTACTTTCTGCCGTTTTAAACTAAAGTACCTGTCTATGACACCATCTTGAATTGGTTAAAATTTCTTATTAAAAAATTGGAAAAACATCTTAAAGATAAAATTCAGTTCACAGCGAGTGTTCCTGAGATATCAGCCCGTGTCTAATGTACAGATGGTTCGGGAAAACTGAGACAGAAAGAAACATATTTTCTGACCATTACTGGAAGCGAAAGATAAGGTTTTGTAGTTATATTCAGTTTTTAAAAAATAAAATCTAAGGTCGTGATTCCCAAAGAAGAGATCTGAGCCTGCTGCACTTTCTGAAAGGCTCAAACGAAACTCTGCTGTGAACACCTCAGGCCCTGGTTAACTTCCTGAAGCTGACCAGCAAAATGTTACGTACTGGGTAAAATGCTTAAACATAAAGTGTGCTAATACGTTTCAGGGCTGCAGTGTGTTTAGTAGCTGCTAATTCATAGAAAGGACAGAACCCAAAGCTAAACTCTGTAAAATTGAAATGTAACTCATAATAATAATAATAATAATCTGATAATCACCTTAAAATTCAGTAATTTGCATGGTGGGGACATAATGCAGTCTAACCCTAATAAACTGATTCTAACCTTAAACCTACTGTAAAACCAAATCTGAGCCCTCACACAGCCCTAAGGACGAGAGTCAGACTCTTTAAATCAAACAAACAGAACAAAACAATGCATCTGATGGGAACTATTTTCAGTGGCGCATTAATCCACATGGGTGTGCACTAGCGAGGGTTTGTGGCAGCAGGACGGTGTATCTGGGATTGAGTCAAAATAAACCACTTCGTGACGACGAAGGAAGGAGAGAGATCAGGCTGTGATACACACATAGGACGTGTCATTGTGAAACGTTCACTGCTGGTTTTGGTCTTGTCATCATATATAGAGAGCTAAAAACTAAATAAAGAATATCTACTGTCTCCCTGATGTGGACTTTAACTAAGAGAATAAACTGACTCACGTGCTCACATTTACAAATGAATAAATGTTGTCCTGCAGTACTTGTTAGTATCAAGGTGAATGCAGCTGACCTATAAAATCGCCTGATCTTCTTTACACCTCTTTTATACCACTCTAGATTTCAGTCACTCCTGCCAGTCAAAGTAGAAGTGTGCATTATTCATCTGAGCTGAAGGCTGCTCCCATGTTCAGCCTGTTTAAATCAGTGTGAAACCAGCCACCAAACACTTCCTACTCATATTAGCTCAGGTGGAAGCTGCATGTTTCTCCTGTAATTTCACAAACCTTTACTAGCTGAGCTTTATGTAGCCAAAAGTGCATATTCATCATAAAATCTATTTTCATATTTTCTTCAGGCTGTATTGGAAACTGAGCAGCGTTAACACTAATTAAACACTGAAACATGTTCAACAGTTTGTATGAACCTGCATGTCAGCTCCACTTCTCCTTCATTAGCATTTTATTTTCAACATTTTAATCCCCACATATGTTCTACTAGAAATCCATACAGACATTAAGATGAAGCCCTGATTAAAAATGAGAATTAATTGATTCTTTTGAAGTGAAACGTCTCCTGATTAGCTCTTGTGTCAAAGCAAAACATACTAAGTCTTAAAGCAGTTAATAATATCCACCATGTGAGAGAAGCAGAGCACCAATCACACACTGTATCCAACCATCCATCCATTATCTATACCGCCTATTCCTGAATAGGGTTGCAGGGGGCTGGAGCCAATCCCAGCTGACACTGGGCATGAGGCGGGGTCCATCCTGGACAGGTCGCCAGCTTGTCACAGGGCATCACACATTGTATTCACAGAGCAAATCAACAGGGCAGACATATAGTGCTTCTTTTGACTGGCATCTGTCTGACACTGCTGTTTTGTATCCAGATGCAACCTCACATTAAATATTTAGGCAGGTTTCCACGCCATTGCCACGTGCCCAGTGAGCACTGGTTTGGTCAAAATGTCTAGGTTAGCACAGGGCTGAATGCATGAAAAAAAAAATGTCAGGAGTACCACAGTGTAAAAATATTCAATTACAAGTCTGGCCTGCAAACGTTTATTTACTGTAGGTAAAAGTACAAAAGTATTATCATCTAAATGTACTTACCATGCAGACAATTGGCCACTGTGGGTGTAGTTATATATTTTATTATTTGTGCAGATTCTCAGTCATCCAGGTCATAGTAAGCTGAAAAAACGGGTTG